TTTGAATCACACATTCCGACAATTTTTATTAAAATCTACTGAACATCGAACTTTTATCTAAATCAAACAAGAACTTAAAAGGAATGATGACAAAATGAAAAGATTTTTTATTCCTTCTAGTCACCCTCATGTACATGCTCTTATTTGGCCTGGTTCAAGACTAAAAATCCATTTTTTTAATTCTTTTTTTTTTTAAGAAAATCAGTCAAAAAATAATGAGAAAAATTGCTGAAGGAAAGTTACTGTTATTATGGCTAGTATGGTAGAGTGGAATGTTATGTTGTGGATAATTTTTTTTTTTTTTTTTTTAAAAAGGAAAAAAAAACTGGTGGATTTTTTTGTTGGGGAAAATAAAAAAAAAAAAAAAAAAGCCCTCAAATCTTATTTATTACAATATTGTGTCATATTCTATAATCTATATTGCGTAGAAAAGGAGGACTCAAGAGGGGGTTGTCCTGTGTGAAAGTCCAATTATAATTTTTTTTTATATAGAAAAATAAAGATTATAGTTCCCTCAATTTGAAATTATAGCTCTACTCCTCATGACGTACTAAACATGTCTTTAGGATTTTGAGTAGTTGTCCGAGTATCAGGATTTAAGTGATGGGTTTTAATAATTATAGTGTTGGAATGTAGAAACGAAATTATTCAGAAATTAAAAATTTCTTTAATTCAATAAATAAAATCGTCTAGATATTCACGTGTATGTTACATCAAAATAAAGGATTCGAATTTTTACCTAAATTCGTTGATAAATTCTTAAATTAATTCTGAATCACGAACTTCCAGCTTTTTAATTGTAAGAACTTGATGTTTCGAACCTTCAAGTCTTTTATGGTATTCTCCAAAGTCAATACTATATCGATAGGTGGGCACCTTCTTTTAATTAAATCAAAAAACCAATTCTTGAATTGAACAATTGAAAAAATCAAGAAAAATAAATTTCTCTCTCTCCAAATTTGAATACAATGGAATTATGTATTATTATTGTTGTACAATTTCATAGGATATCTAGGTTCCATCTAATCTTTATTTATAGAGATACAACAGTTTCAATCCTTATACAATAATAATTTCACACTCAAAAATAGGAGTCCTAATTAAAATCCAAGTAGAAGTTTTAATTAAAGTCCAAATCCAATTAATTTAATATGTATAGTCTTAGAATTTTAATTACAATTATAATTAAGTTTACAACTTTCACAGTAATTACAACTAAGTACAACTTTTTATCGTAATTACAATTAAGCCCAAAACTATTATAATTAATGTAATTAAGTTCTAATACTTTATGGAACTATCATAAGGACATGATCGGACATATATTATCCAAACTCCAATAATTAGATCATGTTTAGTCGATCTAGACCACCCAATCTAAGTATTAGTCTTTGTTTTTTCCACTAAAAATAAAAAGACTGAACTCTTGGAATATATAACATCGCAGAAGCAAATAAATCTGTAATACTTCCTCTGACCTACCGTATATATATTTTATACCAATCCGAGATCCGATATTTAGGTACGAACATAAATGACCGTTTTGTCATTCTAATTATTCTCACTAGCTTAAGGTTCATTTTCTTCAACGGTTCTGTGAACTAATCACATATGTCGAAGTTTAACCGTCGCTAAATACTGAGTTCAGATTTTAACAGTTCAACAAAAAATACTTAAGTAGTCACTCTAACTATTTTCCAGGGTGACGGTTCCCGACACGAATTCATGTTGTCTACTCCACTCATTTTCAAGTTCCCAATTCGTCGAGATACCAGTCAAATTGATCTCACTCATTGATGAACAATTAAAATCACGAAAAGATATACATCATTTTGTCAAAGGATTTCGATGAAATACACAGCAGTCTAGTGAAATTTAATTCTCCGTACGATCATGCGATAGAATTAAATTCGACACGCGGTCTATTCAATATACTCCAAGTGTATTAGTGTCACCTTTAATTATTTCTGTGATAAGGACAGATCAAAACCTGAATAGTGAATCAGTCAACACTACAACTGTCCAGTATAAGGTGCCAACACTTATACGTTGGTTGTGAACAAATTATTTAAGATTAAAATATAAGTTGTGTCACACTATATTTCTCAACGTAAATATCCAACTTATATTATCTCAAGTGAACATAGACACTTTAATTTGGATATTCAATAATAAATAAAAACATAACTTATAATTATTTTATCATAGCAAAATATACTATATGGGCATACAACCCAACATATAGAAGGTAAAAACTATTGTTATTTTACTTGCATATTTCTAGGATATTCAACCTGTTTAAATTTATGTACAGCAATTATGAGAACCAGCAAACGAGCCATCTCACAACATTCATTTCACCATAAAAGTGACATAGTACCCTTTTTATCAACTTACTAAGATTTGGTTTCAGACAATTTCACATGATAATATGAGAGTAGAGTATATTGTGGGTTTGAACTAAACAAGAGCTCTTTTGAAATGCATGCTTTTGAGACGGCGAAATTGCTACGAGTGTTGGAAATGGGAAGTAATGGCAGCCAAATGATGACTTAAGAGACTAATTTTCGACAATAGAATATCCTGTTGAGAGTTGTAACATATCTTTTAGAGTGGTGCTAAAATAAGGAAGGAGACAAGCCGCGTTGTTAGTAATCATTGGTTCTCTCCTATAGTGTGCTCTGAGGTGGATCCTTTCGATCTGATCTAAATTTTATTGAGACCATTTTAACTTTATTTTTCTTCAGAGAGGTCGACATATTGACTTTGTCACCACATTGTCTGTCAAGGTGGATATACTAATATGTGCAACATGTGCCACGTGTCATCCGAAGTGTGCAACATATTACTTTTGGGTACAACTATATATTCAATCACAAACTTCATATATAATCCCATATATAAATTTATATTTGATGCATAAACTTCATATAAATACAACCTTGAGCGTTTAAAATTGACACAAAAGTTTAAACTAATAAAGAGACGATAAATGTGATCATTAATTTCGACAGCACCCACTCCAACTATTAGTCACTTAAAATTGATATACTTGTAATTGCAAGATAATTTTTCAAAGGTACCAATATTTTGCAAGACCATTTTTTAGGGCATGTTGGTTGTACAATATTAAATTGTAACAAACACGAGAACAAACTTAATTTAACTTATTTTTTTATTTAATCTATTTCAATTCAGTCCAAGGACAAATAATTTCTGTGAATCCAGAGTTCTTCTCGCAAGATCCTCTGAATGAAGTTTATTGTAGTACTTGTTGCACTGTTTTTTGAACCGCATGAAGCACCCCTTGGCGGCAGAAATATTGGTGGCTCGGCCTTTTCAGTCGCTACTACCTTATTTCCAGCTCTAATATATCAACATATACAATATAATATACATGTTAGTGGCTGGCTGCTGAAGATTTAAATAAAATTATGTTATATTTATATCAAATACACAGATTAGTTTATCGCTGTATGCACAGGAAGATAAAATTAAAAATTAAATGTTACAGAGATTTCTGTGGAAACAACTTACCATTTATTCAAAGCTTCATTGAAAATAAGAATATAAGTTATTTCTGTTGTAAATGACAACTACGTAAATTACATAGTAATATTCCTATAACAAATAAGACAGATTAATTTTGCTTCGCCCAATTTCTCATCTGCAGCGGAAGGCCAGATACCAATGGCGTTTTCCGGGTTCAATATGAAATCCAACAATCAAACACCTCAAGAAACCGACCCAAATCCAAACTTCTATTGCTATAATGTCACCCACTTAGACACACAATAAGGGAGTTATTGCAGCCATAAAGGTAGCCACACAGGCGAAGAAAAAAGATGAAGAAGGCACAATAAAAACAAAAAGAAGCACAAAGTTGGTGCCTATTTCACCAAGGAAAGAGTGAGCAATAACACACAGTCACAATAAACCAAATGGGCGGCAATATATAAGTTCACACTAGGGCAAATAGTGATGGCCAAAGCCCAATAGGACACAGGAAAGTGGGCCAAGTACATCACTAAGTGGGCCGACACTTATAAGCATTCCAAAGAATTAGGAAAACGGGTTATGAGCGGTACTAATTAAATTTGACTACTTCCAATGACCTAAATAGTTTTAGGGTTTCATTAAAGTGTCGACCTTTAGTTCAGTCATTTGATCGATGCCTACTGAGAAAATTATATCGATTTCACATCATCTTCCGAGACGTTGTTTTGAAAACAATTTCCCTAACACCATCCATAAAAGAAGCCAAAAGAGAAAAAAGGAACAATGCATAGACCGATTGAAAAATGTATTTACATTAATAGTTGTCTCTCACTGTGCACCCAGCTAATGAATGTCCATTTTTGCGTCCTGTTTTTTCAGTAAAAACTTCTCTTCGCTTGGTGTAAAGTTTCCATTTTTTTGCTTTTGTGCAATCTAGCCAATAATTGTACTACCTAAAACGACTATCCACATATTCGATGACTTTCTTGATCAAAACGATGAAAATAGTGTCCGTTACCATCCAAGAACTAGAAACCTACAAGCAACTTGAACTCAGGGACTAAAAAAACACCACAACACATCAAGAACAAAAAATGTTAGCCCTGGTCCGATACTGCTCGGGGCACAAGCGATCCAATCTATTTTGACACCTCTACTGACAGTTGGTAATAAAGAATCACATTTGAACCTAATAGTAACTAACCCATCAACGTTAACAATTGCCTCATCAACCCACCCACCCTACTGTAACTAGGTCCCAGGTTGGCTCAAATTTTATAAAATTCATTTTTCCTCATATATATTTTCGCCGGTACATTTCATGATACTGCACTATCACACGTCGGATACTTTACACCTCGTATTTTTCAGAAAAAAAAAATAAATAAATAAAATTCGAAGCTAATAGCATATCTAGTATACTGGGTAGACATGACTCGACAAGAATATGTGTTTGATGTTGTCCAGTTACTCGAATGTAATTCAGTTTAACAAGCTAAACACAATAAAGTACGTATTACAATAACTGTAGGATTGTCCAAATGTTCCAATATATGCACTATGAGAACACCGTTCAAGTGACAACATTAAAAGAACCTGTAATTAAATTATAAGACGATAAGACGCACGAAAAACAGAAGCTTAAGTACTTTTGCTGACTTGGTTCATCTCAAAATAAGAAAAAGCAGCAGCTGATTAATTAAAGCATCCAATTAGCAACTTATTTGGTGTGGTGTTAGTTGAACGAAACTTTGCAGCAGTCTCTTCCACCTTGAGAAAATCTTCCTTTTTTTTGGCTTCAATCATTGCCCTTTTTTCTTCAGCTGCTTTGTGAATTTCAGCAATTTTGTTCTTCATCTTTTCGCGGTATTCTGCTTTCTTCTTTTCAAATTCTTCCTGCTCGAACAACTTTAATTAAACTCAAAAGCAAATGTTTCAATGTCGTGGTGAATTCAACAAGTTCATATCTCATAGCATGTCTGCTCATTGGTATCTAATGCTTTTACATCACAAGTAAATAGCTACAATATAAGCAGAACACACAAAATTAAGCTTCAACAAACAGCAGAACATCAAGAATTTTTCACCTCAATTTGCTTTATTTGTGCCTCAACAGATGCTTTCTTCGTATTCTCCCAAGATTCTACGGAAGACATCTTTTTATAGGCCCTGAAATATAATTTCAATGAAAAATTTCTTTTAACTCAAGCAGAGAGGTCTATGCATATTTGGCAAGATATATGCCTGAAAACGAAAAAATATATATATTAAAAAATAGAAAAATTACGAAATAGTTTTAGAGTGTCCTTTTGCATCAATTTTTGCAAATTGTATATAAGAATTTCCAAAATAGACTATGATTTTGATACTTTTCTCTCTGAATATCTCTATTTTCTTTTCTATAAAGAAAGTAGCAAATTTGGCCATTGAAGGGCTACTCTTCCAAGAAAATATTTTTCGACTGTTAAAATGAAAATTTACTAGACCCTATCAAAGTCCTCCCCAATACCGCGATGGCCCACATTCAGTTCCTTTTGGTAAAAGATTAAACTTAGAGTTTAATTTAAGTCAAAGCCAACAATTTTTTCAATCACACATTTTATCATCTTTTATTAAAATTTACTAAAAAAATTTATTTTTATCTATGGAAAAATTGCAGCAGCTGTCCCTAACCTTTTTTTTTTTGTAGGGTTTACCCTAACTTTTATTTTGTGTCAGCGAAGGTCCCTAACTTTTCATAAATATGCACCTGAGGTCCATCTGGATAGAAATCGTTCAAAACATCGTCATTTGACCAGAAAAATTTCTTGAACTATCTGTTACAACGATAATTTTATTGGATGTTGATACCTTTCTAGATGATTTTTTGGACGATTTTATTGGATATTGATTCCTTAATTTTCCAGGTCAATTAACGGTGTTTTCGATGGTTTTCATCTAGATGGACTTCAGATGCATATTTATGAAATGTTAGGAATCTTCCCTGACACAAAATGAAAATTAGGATAAAATTTACAAAAAAAAAAAAGATTAGAGATCGCTGTTGCAATTTTCCCTTTAATCTACACCAAACATGAGATAAATCTCAATTATACAGTTCTATGGGAAGTAGGCCTTTCACAATATAACAGACACCAGACAGAAATTAGTGCAACTTACAAGACAAACTCCACCCTTCCGCCACCTCACAGCCAAAAAAATAGGAAAGAAGGAAAAAATGACAAACTAAATTAAAGAAAATCGTACTTGTTGTCTGCTTTTGTTTTCTCACTGTCTTCCCATGCTTTGATCAGAGCCAGTCTTTTCTCCAATTCAACTCGTGCAAGAGCAGCATCTGCTAAATACATAGACAATTATATTATATATAATTGACCGATCAAATATGCATTAGATAAAACAACTAGTTTTCCGCTAATTATACCTCTATCCTTGACATCTCCCACACTCTTTTCAATCCCATGATCTGCAGCCTCTGTCAAAACCCAAGAATTTCAACAATCTGATATGATCCGATGATCAAGTTACGAAAATAAAGAAAAGCACTTGATAGTTAATACAAGAGGAAGTGATCAAGTACTTTGAGCTACTGGAAGGGGCTTAGGGGGAGTGATTTTCTCATCTGGAATTGTAACAACTGTCTTCCGAAATGATACATGATTTGGAGCTTTTATTTCAATATGGGCTTCTTTTGTAGCTGGAAATTCTTCTGGTTTAACTCTTTTCGACTCCTCTAATTCTCCCATATTCATATACAAGTAGTTTTCTGTGAAAATATTGTACCTGTCAAAAATTGGGAACGGAAAAATACTAAAAATCTTCAAGAATTTGAGAGAGAGGAGGTGGTGTTAGGTAAATATAGTGGGGAAGCTGCCAGAAAAGGTACAAGGTGATTTTAGTCTATGTTTGCACATTATTTCCCACCAAAAGCAAATAAATGATTTCCTTGTTATTGGTAGCATGTTATTAACCCTATATGTGGAGGAGATTAAAATTATATTTTAGTAAATTTTGATAAAAAATTTTGGAATTTATGGTTGAAAGGTTTTAAGATTCGCAAAAGATGAAGTTAATATTGATTATTTGATTTTGACTTAAATTAAAAGTTGATTTAAATCAATACCAAACAGTATATAATATTAAAAATTACTTTTTAATATACTTGTCTCTAAATATATTTGAAAGAGATACAGTGTGGCTTATGAGTCACTTATTCTGATAGTAAATAGATTGAGCTTTTTAAATGAATAACTTATTTTAAGATCAAAAATAAACTTTTTAAATTTTAAAAGTTTATTATATCAAGCATGCTGGTTTTAGTGCTATATATAGCAATAATTAAGAAATTTACAAGCATATAAAAATAAGAAAAAGAAAAAGTGACTAGTTTTTAAGATGAAGAAAAATATATAATTCGAAACTCACATATTTACTTACAATGAATTTTTTTTAATCATACTATAAGTGCAGAAATTTTTTATTAACAACACATAGCTGGCACCGATTGAAAGATGGAAAGAGAAAAGAAAAAACAATCAATCAATCATCTACGACCATGTCAACGTTGATAAGAATTCTGTCAAAAATTTCCGGTACTCAATGCTTTTTCCAATTTTTTTTATCTTAGCCAAACATGCACTTTCATTTACCAAATATTGCACATAATTGGGCTGTAAGTTTACCATATAAACAAATAAAGGTATCCTTGCTATATATCAATAACTATTTAAGTGAGTAATTTATTTATTTTGAAAATAGTAATAAGTACTCATCTTTAAAACTTTTTCCATTGTACTTTTTAGTAAATTATAAATTTAGACTACTTTCTATATTTTAATAAAAATATTAATTTATCTACCTGGTCAAAATTGAAACTTAAAATAATATTAGATAAAAAGGATTATTAATCTATCAAGTATTAAATTACAACACATGAATATGGATTTTGATACTTGTACATCAACCCCTCACAACAGGGGGGCCCACGACGAATAAAAAAATCGTGAGCCCCTGTTGTGAGGGGGTGGGTACACCCGGTGTACGAGTAGCATGATTCCATGTACATTGATTTGGATAATTACGACAATAATTAATTCAGCCGACCAAATCTAAAGCGAAACCACTTGCAGAAAATTCAACTTTGAACTCGATGTGTCCGTGAATAATAAGGTTCTCCTGTCACAATTTTGAATAGTTTAAGATGATTAAACCTTGATTCATTAGCCATTAAGTTAAGGTAACCAATGTGGTAATGTGTCATAATCTTTTGGAAGAATAAAAAAAGCTTTAGATGACACCTAGGTATCTTAGATGTTTGTCCACTTATCTAGGTTTTGGAACCCTTTAAGTTAGGTGTATTAATTAATCAAAAACAAAGATTAGTCAAATAGATAATTTTTCAAAAATAATATAGATCGCGTCCAATTTTGAAGAGAAATGATAAAATAGTACCACATTGACAATAATTTTGAAGAAAGTTGGAATTAGGATCACTAAATGGAATATAGTGCTGATCAGTCGAAATAGGATGTAGAACTTGGAGATCGCCTTAGTAGATTTTGCCCCTTTTCGCTATGTGAAATTGTTCTTGATTTGAATATAGATCTAGCCTTAAAGATGCTATCCCCAACTATAACACCTCCTTTGAAGACTTTCACATTTTTTTTTTTAATTATTTAAATTAGTTATTGCTTCATTGGTGCTAATTGTAATAAAGACTTCATGTGAAAAGTTGTATTTTGTACATCTTTGGATGTAAGGTTTTGTCCTCCTTCGTGTGCCCACTTTGATGTTAATACTCTCAGTAGGACTAAACTGTTAAAGAGTAATTTCCAATATCTAACCACTTAGGAATTTACAAAGCATATTTGAAGTCCAAAACATTGGAGGTTTTGGAAGGGAGTTTTGACAATGGAAAATTGTTCTACACTTTAGATGAAATCTTACCTAGAAGATGCACATGAAAAACATCTAGCATTAGCCCCTGTTTGATAGAAATTAAAATTCAATTTTAAATTCAAGTCAAAGTCAACAATTAATTTTATCTATACATTTTATGAAATTCACAATTTTTCAACCACACATTTCACAATTTTTATCAAAATATACTAAAAATCTGATTTTAATCCCCTAAAACAGGAGCTAAATATTGATTTTTGAATGACCCAACAACTCTAAAATCTTCTATTGTACACTAATGGAGTGGAGTTGTTTGTAGCATGGAAATTATTGTGAATGCAGTTATCGCAAAAACAATGAGACCTTCGAGTGAGTTATAGCCTTAAAGATTATATTTCCAATTACAATACCTCTTTTGAAAATTTTCAAATATAAAACTTTTCGTGTAAATTTGTTGTTGTTCTTGCTACTCATTGTAATAACTTCGGAATTTATTGAAATATTAGAAGACGAAACATAAAAGAAAGTTTTGTGGGAACAAGTGTGGACCACTAAAAATTGGAGTCTTCAATTAGAAAAATGAAATCTTACCTTGAAAACCAGAAGATACACTTTGAAAAACATGTAGCACTGAATATTGATTTTGAATGACCCAACAACTCTCATCTGATGTAAAATATGAAGGAAAAATTGCAGCAACGGTTCCTAATCTTTTTTTATTTTTGCAGACTTTAACCTAACATTCAATTTGTACCTGCAAAAATCCCTAACGTTTCATAAATATGCAATAGCAATCCAAATGGATGAAAATCAACCACTTGACTGTTAGTTGACCAAAGAGTCAAAATTCAATCAATTTTGATTAAATTAAAAAGAGTAAAATGGTAATTTGTATATTATTCCAAAAATGAGTTAAAAATTAAATGAAAAAGACCTCATCTTCCACTCCACTCCAAACAATCCAAAACCAGAAAATTCGGCGGCCACCGTCGACACCCAATCTGTGAGAATTTCACCCCTAGTCGGCGACAACATTCCACAAACACATCTCACACAATTAATTGGACAAACAACATCATATGGAGATCAAAATCAGCTCTTAAAGTAATCAGAAGTGCACGATCCAACAACAAAATCCAACAACTTTGGTGTCACCCATGGTGGTGCATTGCTGCCAGTCGATTCACCTCACCAAGGTACTCTTATTCATGGTGAGACGTCATAAAAAACAGCACCAATTGATACAAGTCTACCTCGGGAGCAAAACGAAGCAGTTTCGTCTCCTTCAATTCACGATTTTGGGAATGGTATTTCGTAAAATTGGCAACACCGAACGATGATGGGTATACTCTCAATTGATCCAATTTGTGTCACAAATTGCTCCAATTCCGACTTCAATGTTTATTCAGCTTTCTGTTGAGTTTGATTTGATTTCTTGTTTTGATATTTGGGCGATGGCGACTGCCTTTCGGAGGTGATGGCGATCGATCTTTGTGCCCCATCGGTGTGGGTGGGAGTAGGGAAAGAAGGAAGTGTCGACTGTTGACCATTGGCCTTTCTATTTTTCATGAGCGTAGAGTAGGTGGGCGTGGGAATAGGGGTGATTGGGGTAATTTTTTATTTAATTATGTTATATAAAAAAATTCAAATCATCATTTTGTCCTATTAAAATTGATCAAAATTGTGATCAAGATCAATTTTTTGGTAAATTAACGGTCAAGTGGATGGTTTTGATCTATTTGGACCTCTAGTGCATATATATAAAATATTAGATATCTTCACTAGCACAAATTGAAAGTTAAGATAAAGTCTGTAAAAATTGAAAAGATTATGTGACACTATTGCAATTTTGCCAAATATTAATAGTGCGGAGTTTGTAGTATAGAAATTATTGTGAATGAAGTGATTGTAAAAATAATAAAAACTTAATCGTAAATTGATGCTACTCTCTTTACTTAAGTAAAAGATAGTGTACTACAGATTTCATAAAGAACTAACTTCTGTACCCTATGGATTTGGTATCATAGGGTTTAAAATAAAATCATTCAGTAGCCACACTCGAGAACCATGGCCTTTTCTGCTTTTGCATAATCAAATTTCAAGCTGAATCTTTAATTCAGCAAAAGAAAAGTTATCGTCACCGTTCTTGAAGCAGCCAATCATTTGCATTGTTGAATCTGATTGTGAGGCAAACTTCCAAAATCGGAATTCAATGAAATAAATATGCAGCACATGTCAAATAGCAACTATGTCAGCAACACAAAAATATAGTAGTTCTTTCAATAACTCTTTCTTCTTTTCTTACTCATTTTCAATCATATCTTCTCACAATCAAATTTTCATCATCGTAAACTCAAAAAACTTTCTACTTTTTAATCACTCATTCTTCAAAAAATTATTATTCCAAAACTCATTCTTTCAAAAAAAAAAATAATAATAATAATAAAATATAAAAGAATGGCTGTCAAACAGGGCCTTAATCTTGCATTATTTGCAAAAACACAAATCATTGAATACCAAAAAATCTTGCATTATTTGCAAAAATACTAGTCATTGAATACCAGAAAGCTGGGGACGTGCAAGAAGAAAAAGAAATAGAGAGAAGATCTGAAACGTTCTCGTATAGATAAAGTTGTTCAAGATAGTCATGGAAAGAGAGTTTCAATAACAAAAGCAATTGAAGAAGGTTTAGAAGAACAAGTGTAGATCATAGAAATTGGAGTCTTCAAGTTAGAAGATGAAATCTTGTCTTGAAAACTAGAAGATGCACTTTGAAAAGCATCCAGCATTTAATATTGTTCTTTGAATGACACAATGACTTTAAGCCCCATTTGATAACAATTTTTTACCTCAAAAAATCAATTTTTTAATCATTATTTTATTGTTTCAGGCTCTAGCCGTCATTTTTTACTTCTTCACTCACAAGTAAGATTCACTTTTCTCTCTAACGATCAAAAAATCAATTTTCATAATTACTACCGAACATGCCCTAAAATTCTTTATTACACTCTATAAATAGAGTGGAGTTT